AGGGCAGTACTCCTCCGGTGGGTTGCTGAGACCATACCTCTTTAACAGGAGTAGAAAGCCTCATCTTTCTCCCACTCAGTGGCTGGTGGTTTCTAACCGATGACCTTGTGGTTTGTAGCCCAACATCTAACTCATCACACCATCACGGCTCCATAGTCTTTATAGGTCAGTATAGAGGAGCTTCTGTTTTATTAGGCAGCACTTTGAGAAAGACATGGCAAGCGATCTTGAAAACAAATCGCAAGAGGTTGGGTCAGAGTGGTTCAGTCCTACAAGCCCCTCCATGGGAGAAAGATGCGGCTCCTCCATTGATTGCCTTCTTACAGTTCTCCTTCCTTCCGTCCGGGCAGTATGAGTGGGTATTAACTTGAAGGTAGTGACTGGATTTTAAGTAGTAATGCTGATAATGTCGCAGCCTGAGTCAACACATTCATTCATGTATTCACCCACTAATTGACCCCTTCATTTATTTACTCCACCCACAGCTTTGGACATTTACTGTGTGAGAAGCACCATGAGACTCTGGCGTGTTCTTTGTACTTCCAGTGATCTTGAAGGTCCATGTGGCAGCCACCATAGAGAAGAATGTGACTTGTTTTCTGGTTGGGGCATCATTTTTGTAGCCACCCGTCTCTTGCTCCGGTGGTTCAGGCCAGGGGGAAGGCTCAGTGCCTGCTGTGAGCGGGAGGCTCTGTCTTGGCAGGTTGGGCTCATAGGCAGAACCTGATGGGGACTGGCCATGGTGACCTCTGAGTCTTCAGGATCAGTGACCTGGGGCCACCCTGCCACAGGCTGTTTCCAGTGCTGGTCCTTTCTCATTCTAGTCTATGCTCCCTGAGGGTGACCTCATTCTGGGCATGTGGAAGTAGGACAGGGACCTCCAGAAAGCCTGGCGAACCCTGAATTTGGGGTTCTCTGTGCGGGCTCTCAGGTCATCGGGGTGCTGTCTCAGCAGATCCTAAGCCCAAAGAAAACTTCTGCATTCATTGGACGCTGGGAGAACCAGGCACCTCTTTATAAACCCATTCCACCTCATGAGAATTAGAGAATTGATTCTTGGACTAGAAATTCAGACAGGCTTGTCTGGCCAGGATCACCTGGACATGTGCCTACATTTGTTGCCCTCTGTCAGGTGTCTGACAATAAATACTTTGGCAGATTGTGGGTTGACTCTAGAGGTATTTTTGATTCAATTAATCAGCTACTATAGATCAAGACTCTATGTTGTGCCAGGCCCTAAGGAAATGCAAATCTTGCATTTCCCAGGAAACTTTTAGGGGACACAGGCATGCTAACAAGTGGTTGTAATGCAATGTGATAGATGCCCTAGTTGGGAGCCTCTCCAAATTGGGAGTCCAGAAGAAGGGCCTCTTGCCAGGCTGGGGGCTCAGGGAAGGAGAGGTAGGTTGGTTCCTCAGAAAGCTCCAGAAGTTGGAAATGGAAAG